TCACAACATGACTGGGACACAATCAAAACATGATCGGGACACCATCAAAACATGACCGGGACACCAGCATCACATGACCCGGACGCCATCAAAACATGACCGGGACACCATCCGCCCACCAGCTCTGACGGTGACCCGACGGCGCCCGTCCGCCTATTGGTTTTGCAAGACCCCATAGCATGGCTATTGGGGAATTACAATCTGGAGTTGGGATGGTGCATTGAATTTGGTCCTATAAGTAATGATTCTGTTCGTGGGGGGGGGGGGGGCCGAGAGATGGACTGATAGGAACTATGCGACAAAGCTGTTTCAATCATAACAGCAACACGACCAGAACAACAACAACAACAACCACCAACAACCAACAACCAACAACCAACAACAACAACAGCAACAACAACGACAACGACAACCGACAACCGACAACGATCATCTTGTTGTTGTTGCTGCGTTTGTTGTTGTTGTGGTGTCTAAGAGTCTATTGCTGTTGTTTTTGTTGCTCATCTTGTTGTTGTTCTTATTCTGGTTGGTTGGTTGGTTGGTTGGTTGGCTGGTTGGCTGGTTGGCTGGTTGGCTGGTTGGCTGGTTGGCTGGTTGGTTGTTGTTGGTTGTTGTTGGTTGTTGGTTGTTGTTGTTGTTGTTGGTTGTTGTTGTTGATGTTGATGTTGTTGTTGTCGTTGTTGTTGTTGTTGTTGTTGTGTGTATTGCTGTTGTGTGTATTGCTGTTGTTGTGTTGATTGCTGTTGTTCACCATGTTGTTGTTGTTGTTGTTCCCCACCTGCCAGGTGGGTTGTTAGATTTTATCACAGTTGTTCTTCCTCCGCCTCCGCCTCCGCCTCCTCGTCCTCCTCCTTCCTCCTTCCTCCTTGCTTCCTTCCTCGCCAATCTGCATCGCCAATCTGCTTCGCCGATCTTGTCTGGCCAGCTCCGGATCGCAGTGTGCACCCCTGGACCTCAACCGCAAGGATCCCCTCGCAGTGTGCACCCCTGGACCTCAACCGCAAGGATCCGATCGCAGTGTGCATCCCTGGACCTCAACCGCAAGGATCCGAACGCAGTGTGCACGCCTGGACCTCAACCGCAAGGATCCGATCGCAGTGTGCACCGCTGGGCCTCAACCGCAAGGATCCGATCGCAGTGTGCACCGCTGGACCTCAACCAGATAGTTTGCCAGATAAAATCCACAAACACACAATCACAAACACGCGACCACAAACGCGCAACCACAAACACACAACGACAAACACAATCACAAACCCACAATCACAAACACAATCACAAACACACAACTACAAACACAACTACAAAGCACAATCACAAACACATAACCACAAACACAAAACCACAAACACACAACCACAACCACACAACCACAAACACACAATCACAAGCACAATCACAAACACAAGCACATAATCACAAAGACACAACCACAACCACAATTACAAACACATAATCACAACCACTACCACTACCACAAACACAACCACAAACACATCCACAAACACACAACCGCAAACACAACTACAAACACACAATCACAAAGCCACAACCACAATCACAACTACAAACACACAATCACAAAGACACAACCGCAACCACAACCACAACTACAAACACACAATCGCAACCACTACCACAACCACAAACACAACCGCAAACACACAACCACAAACACACAACCACAAACACAACCACAACCACAACACAGCACACAACCACAGCACACAACCCGAGGACCCACAAGCAACATCGATAACTACAATACAAACGACTATGGCAACATGCTCCTCACTATGGCATCAAGACAAATGATTGAAATGTCTTGGTGGGGATCACTCGAAGTAAAGTAATTCATTTTTTGTATTGTTCTTCTTGGACTGTTAGGAACTATGCGACAAAGCCCTTTCAAACATAACAGCGACACGACCAGAACAACAACAACGACAACGACAACGACAACCGACTACAAACAACCACAAACAACAACAAACAACAACAAACAACAAGCAACAACAAACAACAACAACAACAGCAACAACAACGACAACAACAACAACAACCAACAGACAACAGACAACAGACAACAACAAACAACAGCAAACAACAAACAACAAACAACCACCACCAACAACAACAACAACTACTACTACTATGATTTAGGCAGTTACATGCATTTACTAAGGGGCAGCAAGATGAAAGAAGAAGCTTCTTATGGATCATGCCAAATTGCAGTTGCTGCAATTGCTTGGTGACCGTGGCTCATATCAGAGCATCAACATTTTGACAAGGAGAACAAAAGAGCGCTCAAAAGAGCTCTAAGACGTAGTAAAGAAGAAATGACGTTGGACCTCTCATTTTATAGTAATCTCATTTTATAGTAACCTGAAATTTCCACTTGCACAATTTTATTCACACTGGGGGGCTGGCATAACCGTTCTATACCTACGTATAAAATGGGGTGAAGGACCCCCCCGTTATTCACATGGCCATCTACTACTACTACTACTACTACTACTACTACAACTACAACTACAACCAACAAGAACAAGAACAAGAACAAGACCAACATTAGCAAACGCAAGATGAACAACAACAACAAAAAATATAAACAACAAAAACAACAGCAATAAAAACAACCACAAACGCAACAACAACAACAACAAGAAGATGATTGTTGTCGGTTGTCAGTTGTCGTTGTCGTTGTTGTTCTGGTCGTGTTGTTGTTATGTTTGAAAGGGCTTTCTCGCATAGTTCCTAACAGTCCATCTCTCGGGTCCCCCCCGCTGGATCATTGCGCCGGGTCACATCCATCCGCCTTTGACGCCGTCATGGACTTCTACCAGTGTTACTTGTGATTGCCTGCTACCTTTCGTTCACCCCCTCCTCTCTCAAGTTTTGTCCATTAGGGCTGGACAAGCCCAATGACACTCACTTTGTGCAAGGATGACGCCTCTGGACAAAAATCCACACCATTCCACATGCAACCACCCCACACCCAGA